ATAACTTTCTTACAAAGATAATCATTAATTATTTTGTTAGAACTCGATAATTATCTTAATTATATTTTAGATTTTTTATATTTTAAAATGAGATGTTTATCCTTTATTTGAGTATGTTTATCTGCAGTTAGTTACACAAATTCAAACATGGAGTTTTAATAAGTTGTACTTATTCATAATTTACTTGTAATCTTGAATTTTTAGTAATATGCATCAATATACAGTACTTCACACACAAAAAATGGTTTTTAAGAGTTTTTGTCAAATGCTTTATAATATAGTATAGATTAGGGTAAATTGTACGAAGTGTTATTATTAATTCTATATAAAATGTGTTGGTTTGGGATGGAACAATGACATGTACAGCTCAGAGTTCAAGTCGTATGGTCGCATTGTAGGAGTTACTACTCTTTTGGGGATTAGTTTACTGTGGACAATGGGTTTTCGAGTCAGTTATCTAGCAAACCACTGTAAACCTGATTTCTCTCTTACATAATGTTTTTGAAGTCATTCAAGGATTATCAGTTACAAATTCCTTTAACACAGATACTAAAATATGCTGTTGAATTATATATATAAAAAAATTGTATTAGAAAGTACGTACCTTTTATAAGCAATTTGTCTTTTCTTAGATTACTTTAAAAAAACACTTTTTGTTATAACAACTTATATATATATATATATATATATATATATATATATATATTATCTTCAACCTAAAAACATGTAAAAATCGTTGTAACAAAATCATCCCTTTTAAAATGGTGTTTTACAGTTGAGATTGAGGGAACGTTTCTCATTGGGGAAGCACTTACTTGCAAAGGAGATTGCTCTTAATCACATTATCGTGTATCGGCAAGTGGTTTAAAACTCGATAAGCAACTATCTGTAAGACTCATTTCTCACACTTACTGGATAAGACTCTCGGTCTTGTCATGACTCTTATAGGGTAAGATTCTCATCTTAGTCATGCTCAATCAGTAAAGTAATCATATTAGTAAGCGCTTAGTAACACCCTTGAATTTAAGCTATGGTGAAACTTAAAACACTACCAAAGTAACCACAAGGGTGGTGCCTGATTGGTTTGATCTTGGCTAAAAATGTCAAAAACACCAGGAGGTCTCAGGTTCAAATCCAAGGAGGAATAAAAATCCTCTTGTGGCCATGGAGGTTAAAATACGGTGACTCCGGGCTATCTGCAAAGCAGATGGTCGCTCTAAGATTAATCGGCTCGCATAACGGGTTGGATATCCAGGTTAATAAAAAGAAAAAAAACACTACCAAATTACTAAAGTGATTGTAAACAATTAGTTGAGGATATAAAAGTATGATGCCCATGCCCCATGCCCCCCATTCATGTGGGGGCAGACTAGGAAGGGTTGAGAAGAGTCTTATGCATTCGCTCAACCGATTTTCATAAGTAGATTTTTTTTTTCAGGTGTACCAACTAAACTTTGAAGGGTGCTGCAGGATATTAAATAATACAAGGAAAATCATCCACAAAACCGAAAACCCCCTCGAAAAGGTGGAATTTGGTTAAATTTAAAACACATCTAGTGACTTTGCGGGTATTTGATCCACCTTAAAGGTGCACCCACTTAGCTAAAATCCTATGTCAGTCGCTGATTCCAGATATTTGCAAGTTCAACCATGAACGCTCTTAACAAACATCCGAATACGTACTCTTCGTCTGTCTCGATAAAAACCAACGACAAACGTTTGCTAGATGCTCCACCGAAAGTGTAAGATTAGTCGGATCGATAATGCATAAAAAAATGAATCAATGGACTAAACCTGGAAATCGACCGAAATTGAGGGACCTATTTGTAAATTAGTAAAATGAAAAGATGAAATACGCGACGAGCCGAGTGAGTGACAGATGTGCATACACATAAACACAATTACACACTGTCAAAATCCGGCCTTGTGAAAAACAGAATCTCAGAGTTTTCATTTCTCCATCTCTCGATAATTAATCCAACCCACAACCCTTTAGATTCCTTTTGTTCTTTATTCGATCTTACCCTGCAAATTTTCTCCATGTTTACACAGAATTAGAGCTATAGAACAAGTATATATAGATCATCAGTACCCTCTGTTCGTCTTTGGGTTTCAATTTTGATCAATAAACAACAAATTCAATCGGAAAACGGAGAAAGTTTTGATGGGGAGATTGAATCCGCCTCCTGAGCTAAGTTTGGATTTCAAACCCACTTTTATCCCTAAAACGATTAGTCAATTTTTGGGGGAAGTGGCCAGGATCGGAATCGTATCTGAGAAGATATTGAAAGTTGATGATTTTGTTAGCAGATTAGAGACCGAGATTAGGAAAATTGACGCATTCAAACGCGAGCTTCCTCTCTGCATGCTTCTGATGAATGATGGTTTGTTCCTTTGTTTTTTCCCCTTTTCAGTCGAGTATTTTATAGCTGGGTTTTACTTCTCTCGACAATTTGATCGATGAATGTGTTTTTTTTACAATTCAATCGCATCTGGAGTTAGGGGTTTCTATGTTATTCAAATTCATAGATGGGTTTTCTGATTTTGTCTAATGGTATTTGATGAACAATGTATACCTCCACTTTGATGACTTGATTAGGTAGGGATCATTCTATTTTTAAATGAATTTTGTAGAACTGCACGAATTGGATTGTGATTCTGAAGATGTCTTCCAACTGTTCGATGATTTGTTTAATGCTACTTGATTAACACTAATGTAATGATTTTGTTCTTTTCAGCAATTGTTACTTTAAAAGAGGAATTAATGGTGTTCAAGAAATCAACAAATCAACCTGTACTTGAAGAATTTATACCCCTTAAGAACACTTGTGATGATTATCCAAAAGTCGAAACCGACAGCGGTGATAAGAAGAATTGGTTGAGCTCTACCCAACTCTGGAACACGAATGAGAACAATTCGGACACAAATCAAAACCATATTCCAAAACAAAATTCAATTCAGCAAGCAATTCTAAAGGTAAAAAAAGAGAAAAAAGTTATGCATATTGCTATACAATGAGTTGTTTTTCATTTGATCATGTGTATGAAACTATTCATTTATGAATTTATATGTTTAATATAGAGAGCTGATGAAGAGCAAGATGGGATGATTGGTGATCCATATTGTGGAAACTCTGGGAGAGAGTTCATTCCGTTTAAGGGATATTGTGGGTTTACGGTTGATGATACAACAAGGAATGAAGATAAGGAAGAAATTCCCGATTCTGGGCTTTCTCTTATCGCTCCTGGAATCAAGAATCCAATGAGGGGAAATGGTTTCTTATCGAAAACCGGTGCTAACAACGAACTGGTTCCTTGTTCTATACCCGATGTTCAATCAAATATACGGATTGGTGCCCTTCAGCCTCAGCCACCACAACATCAAACATCTAGGAAACAAAGAAGATGCTGGTCCACGGAGTTGCATAGGCGCTTTGTCAATGCACTGCAACAACTTGGAGGCTCAAAAGGTTAGTCCTTGAACAATGAATATTAGTTTCATGTCAAAATGCTAGATTTTAACTCAGACTCGAAGTTATGCAGAGACAATTAGGGTAAGATAGTTATTTCTGTCATTCCTACTGTTTAAAACAACAATTCAGCCTAATCCATACAGACAGCTTAATCTATGAGAGCTTAATGGAAAAACAACCAAGCAGCCCTTGGATCATTGCTTGTTTAAAGATTTGATCATATCTTGCTTTATGATAACCTTTCTAGCATATAAAACTATTAATAAGTAAACTGCAACAAATCCCATTTGAGATATTCCACGAAAGCCACAAGATTTCCATATTGCAGTTACCAAATTGTATTGTGTAGGCATAATTACAAATTGTGGTACTAAATTGAGTACTTATTGAAGGATATTACAGACATTTGACAAATCATTAAACAGTTCTTTGAAACTGAGTGCCTAGTCAAATGTTACAGTTTTTATGGAATGGATGTAGATTTTTAAGTTGATGTAGAATTTATGAGAATGAATGCCATGATACTATTAGATATTCCAATTTATGTATTACCATGTTGAATTCACTCGATATCTTTAAGGATCTTTCTATGACAAAATAGAAATTATTGATGATCATCCCTTCATCCTTGACCATATATAATTCTAAATAAGATTGGTTCCAATCATCTTGCAGCTGCCACCCCCAAACAGATTCGAGAGCTTATGCGAGTAGATGGCCTCACCAATGATGAAGTGAAGAGCCATTTGCAAGTAAGCTGTTTTTCTAATTTGTATACCCTTTCGAGCTTTTCCCATATTTCCATTTTGTTGAAGTAAATATTTATGTACGGCAAAATTCATACACCCTCCTCACTTTTAGTGACCTCCATGGATACTGCTGGGCCGATGACCATTTGGTCCCATATCTCCATTGGCATTTAATTCATTCTACAAAACACTAAATGCGCTCTTTTTTGTTCTTTTTTTTTTTTTGTAGAAATACCGGCTTCATACACGAAGGTTTCCATCCTCCAACACATCCTCAGATCCATCTGGTGTTGGTTTGGGAGGTTTATGGATCCCTGCCCAAGATCAGTATGTTGTTGAATCCTCGAAACATATAAATACTCAATCGGGTTCTCCAGATGGGCCGCTCCTGAACTGCACCACCGCCACTGGCGGAACCTCCACAACTGGTGGTGACAGCATGGATGACGGAGAAGATGAGAAATCTGAGAACAATTGCTGGAAAGGTCATGTTCACACTTCAGCCAAAGATAATGTATAAATCTTTACATATCTTTATAGATAAATAGTATATCGCGGGATTAATTAATGTAGGAGAGAGCTCATAAATGATTAAAAACACTTACAAAAAAAAAACTATACAGAAAAAGAGTGAAAATTTTGCAGGAATAGTTCCTTTTTTCACTTGTTTTTGCTCTACATTTTCTTGGATTCTTGGCTTCATGTTGTTTTTTTTTGAGATGAGAAAACATGATCATTAAGAATGCAATATTTAAGCATATTATATTATTCCCCTTGTGAAATCTGGAATCTATTGTCTGACTGTAACTGTAGGTGGCTATTCACAATTCCATCAGGGTATTTTGGTAATTTTACAAATGGAAATGTGGTGTGATTATGGTCTTCTTAGTGTGTGTAGATTTAGTAACATGCAGAAGGGTACAAGAGTGAGTATGGAGCAAAGAATTTGGCTTTTGAGAATGGGAAAGGCATCCCATGAGGAGGCCTCTTTGCATTTTGGAAAGGCCACTTTTCATTTCTCTTTGCTCCCTTTTGATTTATGTTTTTATATTATATTATATTATCTATATTATTTTTATTCATAAATTATTGTTTATTGTTATATATTATTTAAAATTTAAGATTACAAGTAATTTTGCTTAGGTTGTAACTTATTAAACCACCATTTTTAAATTTATGTACTTTACTGCTGATAAACATAATCAAATATAGGATAAATATCCATTTTAAATATAGAAAATCTAAAATATAATTAAGATAATCATTGATTTCTAACAAAATGTTTAGTTATTATCTTTATAGAAAATTATATTATTAAACCAAAATTAATCTATACTATATTATAAAGATTTGACAAAAACTCTTAAAAGTTATTTTTTATGCATGAAATACTGATTATTGATAAATATTACTTAAAATTTAAGATTACAACTAATTTTGCGGAAGTACAATTTATTAAAGTTATATTTTTAAATTCGTGTAACTAACTGTTGATAAACATGATCAAATACAAGATAAACATTCATTTAAATATAGAAAATCTAAAATATAATTAAGATAAACATTGATATCTAACATAGTGTTTAATTATTATCTTTATGAAAAATCATATTATTAAACCAAAAATAAATTACTTTGTTATTAAATCTAAATTAAATTAGAGAAGTTACACCAAAAAAAAGAGAAATATTAAATAGTTAATTTGATACTATTATCAATTTATTTTCTTACAAATTTTTATGTTATCTTCAAATTGTTATTTTAATTCAAAAACAAAAACATTATCACTTTCTCAAAACCACGTAAAATCGTATTATATTGATAGAGACAAAGAATAAAAACTAAACATTAAAATTGAGATTTATCTCGCTGCACTGCGCGAGTACCCTTCTAGTATTAATAATGCGTCAAACCAATAAAATGAATATTTACTTTGTACCGCAATATATATCTTTTAACCAATGAATCAAACCATTATCGTCACAGGAACAATAACTCCCTCTTGATAAAACAAGAGCGAAACTATTGCTCCTTTTTTAGTACTCAGGTTAAAATTTATTTTTTTACAGAAATTACCTTTACTCTTTCCAGTAGAATTTTCTACGGAACCCCAATCTATAAAATTCTGGATCCATCACTGCTTTTACGTGTGTGTATAAAGATATATAAGACATTGATTTTTTTTCTTCTACACTCTAAATCGCTCAGAATGCTTGGCTCCAAAGATCAAAAGTACCAGGAGTTCCCAGGTTCAAATCCAAGGAGGAATAAAAATCCTCTTGTGGCCACAAAGGTTCAAATGCGTTAACTCTGGACTATCTGCAAAGCAGATGATCACCCTAAAATTAGTCGGCTCACATAATAAATTGGATATCCAGATTAATAAAAAAAAAAATCATTCAGAATCTTTTAAAAGATGGTTCCATACATTACCATCGTTTTCAAAGCAGACAAAGCAAGACAAGTCCCACAAAGATGCCCCATCAATATCATCATCCTTGTGTATTTCCAATAATACCCCTTAATTTCCAAACCATCCAATTTGTTAATCATACCTTTTAACTACCATTCAAACCAATATTTGGAGCCATCCTTATTCCCTCATGAGAATATTTGATTTCTAATGGATAAGCATTCAAATCATTTCAATGGGTACCCATTTGACAATATATTCTGTTAAATAATTCGGTTTTCGGAAAACGTTATCCGCATGTTTTTAAATCAACTCATCTGTTTGTTACTGTAACTTATCTAGGTCGAGAAAGTCAAATAAATACAGTAAGATACGTATGGATATGTTTTTCAGTTATTTTTTGGGTATAAAAATATCTGAATAGAAAACTATCTGATCTGAAACAACTATACAGTACTTGCTGAAGAATCTTACACGGAAAAATATAAGAAAAGTGGTTTAAAGATTTGATGAATCTTGAATTTATTGCAAGTTATTTGATTCCTTCACGAATCTCCCACGAAATTATTTCAAAAACTAAAATAAATTAAATAAAAAGTATAAAAAATTCTGATATATGTGATTTACGAATATCAACTTAATGCAAATAAATTATTTTAAATAATAGTAAAATGACAAAAAAAGAATCTTTGAGACAAATTTGACCCCAGGTTAATAGGCCAATCTTTTGGTATCCGTGGGTAGGATTGTCTTTTTGTTGTTATTTTTTATAAAGATTTATGTAAATATTTTGTTTAGTAAATTACGAACTTGGTCCCTATGGTTTGTTGAAAATAACACTCTTCGTTCTATAATTTTGAAATTACAAGATGATCATTGGAATTTGAGCAAACACTTTTTCTTCTTTTATCTTTTATCCAATTAAAATCAGTATTATGATACTGATCATTGTGGTTTCTTATTAGATAAATGACAAAAAAACGATAAAGGGATAAAATACTCTACATTTAACGTAATTTTTTAACGGCCGTCAGAGAAAGAGACCAAAACTGGACGTTTTTTACAAACCATGATGACCATCTTGTAGTTTTGAAACTGTAGGGTATGAAAATGTTATTATTAATAAACCATAGGGGCCAAAATTGTAGTTCACTCATATTTTTATTTTTTATGTTTGGAAATAAATTGTGATGTAAAAATTAATTTATATATTTGAGGGGACAATTTTAATTAATTTATGTGAAAGATGCCAATTTGGGTAATATTTTATTATTAAATGATCAAAAAAGATAAAGTAAATTAAAGTTAATTAATATAAAATGGGTTAAACAAGCTAAAAGTCAATAATTTTGTGATTTAAAATACAATAACTGATTTAGTATCGAACAGATGTCTATGTTATTACGAAAGACCAGATATAGAAGTCAATAAGGATCTGTGTAACGGTTTAAATATTTTACAGTATGTTAGAATATATTTTGTTACGTTTCCATCCTATTATAGTTTTTTCCGCTCGTTATAATTAACCATAATATTATTATTTACATAAACCACAAGGGTGGTGCCTGATTGGTTTGAGTTTGGCTCCAAAGAACAAAAGTACCAGGATGTCCCAGGTTCAAATCAATGAGGAATATAAATCCCCTTGTGGCCACGGATGTTCAAATGCGGTGACTCCGGGTTACCTGCAAAGCATGTGGTCACCCTAAGATTAGTCGGCTCGCATAGCGGGTTGGATATCCAGGTTAATAAAAAAAAAATATTATTCACATATAAATCCCATGAAATGCTAACCACACTTGTAGAATTCAAAATCCTATATTTGTGGGATTTCAATGAAATCTGAGGGTTTCAAATCCAGGAAATCATTCAAAACAAACATAGGACTGAAACGAAATCCAATTCCAAATCCTATAAACCAAACGAGATCTTATATTTGTCACTGCAATAAAAATATAATACTGGTTTATAGGACGCCTAAGTGTTGAAGTGTCCTTATTGAATGTCTTAGAACTTAAGTTTATAAGACCACAAAATAAAGTGTCATATCTAAAAATGTTAAAATAGTTTATATGACGTTTTTGGGCGTTCTAACAAGTTGTGTAGGACACTTTTAGAATAAAACGTTTTATTAGCTATTTTATAGGACACTTATGAGAAATGTGTTATATACCATCTTTTTATAAGACCCTTGTGTTTGTATGACTCATTTCAAACATTGTCCTATAAAATATCTAATACGACATTTTATTGTTAAAAATTTCTAAAATACTTGTTACGACGTCCCCCAAAAGTGTCATATAAACTTATTGTAACACTTTTAGATGATGCATTATATTTTTTGTTCTTACAAACTTAAGTTTTATAACTCCCTTTGATAGGACACTTAAACAATTTGGACGTTCTATAAACTCTATTTTATTGTATTATGTCGTGACATTTTAATCATTGTTTGACGTAAAAGTTTATATAAATTCATATTTTTCACCCAGACATGGGATCACGTAAGACCAGTTTGTCTTTGTGAGACCCGTGAAACCATTTTTTGCACTTGAAACTTCACAGTGTTTTTGCTATAAAGTTTCAAGTGCAAAAAAATGGTAACACTTTCATATTGTTTTTGCTGTGAAGGTTCGAATTTCTTTTTGCCTTCACAGTGTTTTGTTATGAAGTTTCAAGTATATAAAAAAATGGTCTCACGACAACAGTCTGGTCTCACGACAACAGTCTGGTCTCACATGAACCCAACTCTTTTCATCCAAATACAACATTTTTGACGTACAACTATATTCTGACTGTGTTTTGCTGGAATAATTATTTTCGAGACTTTTCAGAAAAATCTTACAGATTGTTATAATTGTGTAATGAAGTTTTAAATATTGAGAATTGTGACAGATTTTTTTCAAGAATAAAATATTAACATACGATAAATGAACTCATGCACCTTCCTTGCCTATGATGTGGTTTGAATTTTCGATCTAGAGGGAGGCTGGATATACCACTAGACCAAATACCCTTTGATTATAGAGTTTCTTATTTGTCGAGTATTTGATAAATTTAGAACGTGGTCAAAACTTACAGAAATCACGAGAAATTTATGGAATCCGCCTTCAAGGACACCAATGGGGGGAGACCATTTTTTGGTTTACACAGTGGTTTCAGCTATCCCCGTGCGGCAGTGGGGGGGTCCGAGATCCAACTTGAGACCTATCTTGTATTTGGAAAAAGTCTTCCGGTCCCTTTGCCAATTGAGCTACATAACTGTTAGCGATATATTGTTCTAAGATATATTATATATTATAGGTTGGGATTGGAATCGTCGGTACGAGTCTAAGTGGTTTGCTTAAAGTTAAGACGAGTATACGCGATTTACAAAACTCGGATGCATCTTTATAAGAACGAGATGTTTTGATGCTTGCAGAACATGTGTCGGGACGTCAATGAGGATTACATGATATTACAAGTGATATGGAAATCGATATTTTGATAATCAGTATTTACGGTGAGAAACACCTCTATATTTCAGGGAATGATAGCCAATGTATGTGGCGAAAAAAACCCCTATATATTTGTATATTTAATGTCGGAACTAACATTTTTGTCGAGCGGTTGTACCTTTAAAGTGAATCAAAGGCCTGCAAAGTTGTTCGATGTGTTTTTAGCCGAATTTTCCAGTGTTTCAAGGGATTTTTTTAAAGTTTTTTTTGGTTCATTTCGAGGTACTTTTTTTTGTTTGATGTTTCTTATATTTTTTAATATCCCGAAGCACTCCTCAAAGTTTAGTGAAAGCATGTAAAAATTCTAGTTGCGAAAATAAGTCTACGGGATGCATGAGAACCTGCTCGAACATACATACCCATGTGTATATCCTCTTCAAGTGAATATGGTTTGTATTCACATATGAATAAAACTTCAAAGCTAATATGAAAACACCATAAAAGAATTAACAATAAAATGAATATCAAATTCAAAAATAGTTTTATTATAATTAAAATGTACTAAATTTAAATATTATTTTGTAACACGTGAATTTTTTTTATTAACCAGGATATCTAACTCGTTATACGATCCGACTAATCTTAGGGAGACCATTTGCTTTATAAATAGACCGGAGTCATCGTATTTGAATATCTGTGGACACAAGGAGATTTTTATTCCTTCTTGGACTTGAACCTAGGACTTCCTGGTACTTTTGACCTTTAAAGTCAAGCTCAAACCAATCAGACACTACCCTTGTGGTTCACATGGTTTTTTTTAGTGTTGTCATTTGAATATAATCATGGAAATATTATTTTGTAGTTTTTTATTTTTGTAAATAGAAAAATAAATAAAAAAATAAAAGCAAAATAAAGAAGTTTTGATTTTGAGCGCCAAATGTAGAATGGAAATTAGATTACAGTTACCAAAGCCAGAGAAAAGCATGGCATCTTTTTCGCGTCAATGCAAACCCATCACCAAATCTATGTGGGAATGCAAGAGAAACAACACACGGTCCAAATTTTCTTAATGGAGAGAGATTGGATAGGTTCTTCACTCTAATCTTTTTAAAAAGATTGAAAAACTCTAATAAAAATGGCGCAGGCACAACCAGAAGAAAAATTGCAGGAAAATAGAGAGAAAGAGACATCCAAGAAGGATGAAAAAAGGGAAATTTCTAATTCTCCTTCTTTTAAACTCAATGCACATGCTCCCGAATTTGTGCCAAGTTCGCATACCCAGATTCCGGTTTCTGGTTATTTTTATCCCTGCTTTAGTTATCTGGGTGTGGGTGGGAATGATGGCAGTGGATCGGCTGATTGGGTTTATGTTGGTGGCGGTGATCAAGATCAGCAAGTGCAGTTTTTCTCCAATCCTGATGTTGTGATCCCCAATTGTTCGAGGAATTGCCTCACTGAGGATCTTCAGCAAAAAATCATCAAACAGGTCATTTTTCTTGTTATTAACATGGTTACTTGAATAAGTGATGTCATGTATACTTAATTGGGTGTCCGATTTTGCGTTTGAAATGATGTTTGGCTTTGTTTTCTGTTGGATTGCCCCCTAAATTCTCTGTATCTCTAGTCAAAATGAGGTTCAGGCTCAGTTTGGATTGGATTAGCCATTACGGCATCATCTACCTTTGTGTTGAAAAGATGAATTTTTGGTGTGAGTTTGTGTTCTATTGTGCAAGATTGTCCTAGTTTATGTTAAAAATGTGTTCTTGGCCCTGGTTTGTTTTGGGTTTGCCATATGGGTGTCCAATATTGTGTTTAAAATGAGCTTTCCAACCTCAGTTTGTGTTGTACTGGCCATAAGGTTGTCCAAGTTTGTGTTTTAAACAAGATTTGACCTCAAATTGTGTTGGATTGGCCATAATGGTATCTGACTTTGTGGTTAAAACAAGTTTGTAGCCTCAGTTTGTATTTGACTGGCCATAAGTGCACTCGAGTTTGTGTTCAAAATGAGGTTTGACCTCACCTTTAATGCTTGATTAGAGATAAGGGTGTGCAACTTTATGTTGTTAAATAGCTGTTTGTCTTGATTCCTTTTGGATTGGCCAGGGTGAACAAGTTTATTAGTTACAATGAGGTGACCAAATTTGTGTTCAAAATGTAGTTTTTGGTGCCTGGCTTGTGTTCAAAATGAGTTTTGGCCATGGTTCGACTTAATAACAATGAGATTTTACATGGGTAACAGGTGGAGTGTCAATTCAGCGGCCTGAGCCTACTTGCGAATGAATCCCTGGTGAAACACATTAGTAAGGACCCTGAAGGCTATGGTGAGATCAAGAAATCTTTGAAACTATTTGTTTGAGCGTTTTTTAACATTTCCATTTTGGTGGTCCCAGAGGGAAAGTTTTGTGAGGACATCCTACTCCCAGACCCTACCTCTTGATGCTGTCAAAACAAAGACGAGACTCACAAAATGAAAGAAAATAGCACAAAAGAATGAATGATCATGTATATAATTTATAAGATGAGTGCAAATCAATGTGATCAATTAATGAACTTCCTTGTTGTTCCAGTTCCTATATCTGTTATTGCATCTATGAAGAAAGTCAAATCTTGCATCACTAACCATCATTTGCTCGCTCAAGCTCTTTGCTCATCCACAAAGTTGGTAAGTTTTTCACATTTGAGGGTGAGTTTAGTATGCGAACAGGACTGGGCAGGATTGGACTGGACTAGTGTGAGGCCAGAGGATGAACGAATTGTTGAAGGTTTTAAAGCTTTAATATGACATGGGTATTTTAGTAATTTACATATCTTGTCTCATCTCCTTTATTTTTGTTTCACCTTTTTTGGTGGGACAAAAAAGCGGAATATTTGTCCCACTTAATCCTATCCTGTCATAAGTCTAATTGTCGCACTAAAGGACAACAAGTTTTTGTTCTGTCTAGTTCCTCGGTCTAACCAAGTCCTTGCTAGGTTGTAAGCAACGATGGCAAAAAAGTGAGGCGTAAACACCCCTTCACGGAGAAAGACAAAGAAGAATTGCAGGTTAGTAAGCTTGTATATATAATTTTAGATTATCTTGCAAGTTCTTAGAACTTTGAATATTCGATCTGTCATGCAGTCTCGCACTGTTGTTGCTGAGAATCTTCCGGAAGATCATTCTCATCAAAACCTTGAGAAAATCTTTAGTGTGGTCAAAAGGTAGATTTTGGAATCCATGTTTTCTCTCAAATTTCAATCTTTCAAACACTTCGCTGAGTTTTCTCCTACTTCTAGTGTCAAAGCCATTCGTATTTGCCATCCCCCCGAGCCTAATTCTTCACGTTCTAGAGGAGATTATGTTTTTAGTAACAAGGTATTAACCAACAATTTGATTCATTTGGTCTCACTATAACAATATCAGTTTAATAGGACACCAAATGTATCTAAGTGTCCTATACTCCTATAAAGCCGATTTTGTTGTAGTGTCTTGTGCTCCTTAATTACTTCATTAACCACGTTTTCTTATGTTTTGAAGCTCCATGCTTTGGTGGAGTATGAAACTGCAGAAATGGCTGAGAAAGCAGTACGTTTCTATTACAATATCGTGAAAATCTGAAGTTGTCTGATTTCTTAAAATGTTGTTTAAGAAGTTGGTTTTCAGGTTGATAAGTTAAATGATGAACGCAATTGGCGAAAAGGGCTGAGAGTTAGGTTGCTGATTCGACGTTCAGTATGTGATTCAAACGTCTAGTAATTTACGTTATTTGGTTATTTAAAAGATCGATACACTCTTTAAACTGTATGTGAATTATATGAATCAAATGTACAGCCAAAGTCTGTATTGAAGAGCAGGAAGTCGGAGTTCGATGAGTTACTTGACGATGAAAGTGATGAAGCATACGACGCGTCTGAAGAATCTTCTCAAACGAATGTGATTGAAGTTGCTGTCGACAATAATGTAAGTGTGTAAACGCAAAATTTTATGAAATCCCATCTTTGTAAGGTTCATTGTGCTTGCATATACGTGAACCTTGCTGTTGCTAGAACGCATATGGTGTCTGGAGTCCCACTTTGGCTAGACTAGAAATATTTCTTTTAAATATAGGTTGGAACCTCCTCATGTGCTATTCTGGAAAGTAATCTAATGAGGTTCCACATATTCTTGCATGATATCAGATTCAAGGTCTACCCTTCTGGACCACTTGTGTTCGTCTAGCCCCCTCTAGACACTCTGGGATAATTTGTGCCCGTCTAACATTTGTTGGAGGGAACGTGTTAGAATCACATATCGGCTGGACTTGGACTATTTCTTCTCAATATATGTTGGAACTTTTTTTTCTTTGCTCCATGGCTAATTTGGAAAGTAATCTAACAGGGTTCCACATATTCTAACAGTTTCTAGTGATAGATCTTAATGGGCTAATTTAGAGGGTTCCATATATTCTCACAGTTTCTAGTCATAGATCTTTTGGGTAGTGTGCAATGTAGCCATCCCAACCGGAAATCTAATAAATTCCCATTTACTATTAAAGACAAATCCAGCAAAAAGCCAAGGGATTTTTTCTTTTTTCATTGTTCCGATTACCCCTCTTATATTTTTCTGGTTACTATTTCAACATGTCCTTTTAAGTCATTTTACATTGTCATATAACTTATCATCTAGGTTTTACCAGACATGACTAGTTTATCAACCACTGATTCGTTTTGTCTTCCATGGTTGTTGGTAGGCGGAAGAGGGTTCAAGGAAAGGATGGGGACGAGGACGTGGGAAGTCAAAGTTACGCACGCCGACTCATAACGGACGTGGGGTTCTTTCACAATCACCACAAACAAGCGGTTCGCCGTATTCGGAAACATCATCAACCAAACAAAGTAGTCCAAAAGGTCCAAGAATGCCAGATGGAACCAGGGGGTTCACCATGGGAAGAGGGAAGCCAATGTCTCCTCCTGCTCTAACCACCACACCATAACAGATTTTGTTAGGTTAGGTTCATTATCTTCCCCCCAAATAGTACCTTTTCAGTCATCAAATCCATTTGCTGTATTTTGTAATAATGTGTGCTATTTTCATGAATTCTTTTTGTATATTTGATCTTTTATCATATTTTGTTTTATAACGTTAATATAGGACCCTACTTGAGCGTTATTAAAACAGGGTTTTATCTATGAAACTCGAAAAATGATAAGATTGTTGTAGGGAGGGTAATAAAAGCAAAGCAAACAAATCTTGTATATCCCACTCGGAGGTAGGGTCTAGTGGGCCGGATGGGCTTTTGGGCACACGGAAATGGGAAAGTGAATGGAGGGCGATTCTCAAATAGAGTTGAGTGGGGTCGCTGAAGTGGCTAGGGTGAGTCTTCCTACGCTCTAGAGGAAGTTGAGGGGGTTACCACCGTATCCTCTCCTGCTAGACTTGAAATAAGTATATTAAAAAAAAAACTAGAAGGGTACTTGTGTAATGTAGCGAGATACATCTTTATTTTAATGTTTCGTTTTTATATTTTGGGTCTATCAATGTTATAATGCGATTTTATGTGGTTTTGAGAAAAAAAAATGTTTTTTATTTTGAATGAAATATAAATTCAAAGATATTATGAAATTTTGATAAAAATAAGCAATATTAGTATCAAATTAACTATTTATAAGTTCTTTTTTTTTGTGTAATTTATTTAGTTCAATTTTTTATTATGATTTAATTGAATTTTAAAAATGAACTAATTTATTTTTGATTTAATGAAATAATTTCTTTAAGATAATAATTAAATATTCTGTTAAAATTCAATGATTATCTTAAGGGAAATTTATAAAAATAACCGGTTTACACAACCATTTGCCACAAAATAACCACTTTTTAGAGGTTTTGCCGGAATGACCACACGGATCGCCCCCAGGGGCGATCCGTACACAATGGGGGCGATCCCCCCTTAAGTCTTAAAAAAAATTTACTGTTCATTCCTCGTTGACCGTGTTTGACCTCGCCCCCGGGGCGATCCGGGTATTTTTTTTGATATTTTTAATAAAACTGATACGCCATTGAAGTTGTATTTTTTAACTTTTTTAGAACCAAATTTCATGGGTAAAGGTTTAAAAATAAACCTTCATAATTATGGAGAAGCAAAAATTATTTTTATCTGTTTTGGGTTTCGTAAATCAGATATAATATCTGATTGACGAAATTTGACCTCTATTTTGTCATTTTGTGTTTTTTATTTAACAATTAAGGGGTGTTTTTAATAAAAATGGAAAAATACATAAAGTGTGTCTTTTTACGTATTTAATTTTAAATTTCACGGTTTTTCGTTATAAAAAAACTGGATGATAATTGTGGTTACGAAAAAAAAAATTAGTTGATTTTTGGAGAAAAAATCAGACATTATATCTGATTTCGCGGTTTTTCATGATATGACACTTTATGACGTCGATTTGACGATGATTTTGTTTTATTACTTAACGTTTTTGTGTGTCCACAATATCTGATCAATCTTCATATTAAGCTTCCTTCAATGGCAGATTCATAGATTTACATTCAAGAACACTATGAACACATATGAATATTGAGAGGAAAAGTCAATCCTCTCAATTATGGTCAAACCTTCTATTATCAATGTAATCTTACAATTAAGCTCCTCTTTTTCTAATTACAAAGATTAAACCATATTTATATGGTCAACCTAACAA